TAGAATCTCACGATCCGGTGAATGATCTACCGCCTTCTTATTTTGATCTTCGACCTTCTCATTTTCGTCTCCCCATTTCCAAGTACCGGAAAGAGACAAGGGCTCTGCTTGATCAGAATCATCATCTTCGGAAGCAGACATCACATTGTCCTCACTCTCGGAGTAATCTGACTCTTCCCCGGTGTCATGCAACTGAGAATTCGTCTCCCTAGGTTTGTTCGACATCTCCTCATCAAGCTGAAAGAGGAAGCTCTTGTTAGAATAATAACGAAAATAATTCCCTTCAGGAAAAAAAAAAAAATTCTTAATTTAAAAAACCGACTTCCATAACATCTTCTTCCACTTCCGAATCACTGGACAATTCCAGATTGTGAGCCCTAAAGCACGATTCTTTGAGGCCAAAGGAGATTTTTTGGGTTTTGAGGTCGACCTCCAGGATTACTGCTGTCACGCGTTGCCCAACTTTATATAATGCTGACAAGTCTCTAACGAAATCGTCCGACACCTTCGATATATGACACAATCCGCTTATGGCAGTATCATTTATTTTAATGAATACACCATACTTTTCAACCGCTGTGACAGTACCCTTAATTTTCTGTCCCGGGGAAAAGTCTTTGAGGGTTTTTGCATCAGTCACGAGTAACCATTCCTGTTGTTCGGTGGGAAATTGAAGGGTTACCAGGACGCGATTGATTGACCCATGCTTACTCGTAGAACCAGCATCCTCCTTATGTCGGGGAACATGTACAATCTTAGCTTTTGCCTTCTGTCCAAACTTATATCGCGTAAAGGGTTGCGACCTATCATTGTAACTTTTTGAAGTGGCGAAAGCTATTGTGTTGCCTTGCTTTGGAAGAGACACGATGATATAATCCTCCTTTACTAGCTCGACAACTGCATCCACTGTTTCACCATTCTTTAACAGCTTCCTAAGCTCTTTTCTCTATTATTAAAGTTCAATAATTGGCACACAAAAATTCAGTTACCAGTCTCACGGAACTCCACTAAATTTGAACCTCGGACTCTAAACTTACGTGCGAAAGGAGCGGCTCGCTGTTACTCCCGGGTCCGTTAATCTTTTGATCATTTGTTCTTTTGCTCTCATCCATCAGATCAGGCCTCACCGACAAATCTGCAAATTTCCCCTTCTCGTCAAAGTCAAGGACAACTCCATAAAGTATGGCGCCTTCCTTCACCTCTTCACGATCGCGAGCATGATCCTCATTAATAGATGCCTTTATCTTGGTGTTCTCATCCTCGCTCAAGAGGATCCTCGCCTTGAAAAAATTTATTTCGTTTTTGGACGCTTGCTTTTTCACTTGAAACCTGACACACTGGCCAATACGAATTTTCTGATCCTTCGTTGGTAAATGTTTATTTTCATACAGTTCGGAAAAATAAGATTTTATGAAATCTCCTTCCGTAATGAAAGAAAGGGTGGCTATGTCAATGTCCGAAGATTTCAAAGAAACCTCGCATCTTGAATTCTCAGTGTCAATGGAGATTACACGACATATAACGGACTGATTCGGAAAAAATACTCCAACCGGACTAGCGACATAGTGATCAGCAATCGCCTGGATTACGGATTGTGCATTTTAGCAAATAAATTCCGAGCGAAAAATCATGGAAATTGCAAAAAAAAAAAAAATAATAATAAAATAGAATGATAAATAAAGTTCTTTTCTATTACGTGTCTCATTGCCCTCGTACTGAAGCCACCCAAAAAGCTTATAAAAACTGCATAATCCGTGACGTTTCTCACGTAACCAGGAACGACAGCACCTATCTCGACCTCTTTAAGCGTTTTCGGTAATTTCCCAGCCTTTGCGGCTTCAACCAATAAATGTTTGCAACTAACGTTCACAAACCCTTTATCCTCGTTTTTTGACAACACCAATAAATTCTTTAACGTATCATCCTGCTTCAAGGCTTTAACGACTTTTGCAAGGTGCAACGGAGATAGGTGATCAGAAAGATGAGATATATGAAGATTCGCCCGAACTTGAGAGGGATCTAACGACAACACTATTATATCTTCTTTGACTCGCATTATTTTTCCCTTCGTCAACTACAAAACAAACATGATGCGTAAGTAAAGTTCGCAGTGAAAATCGAGGTGAAGAGACTTTAGACAACCTCGCCTATTTTAATTCCACTGAGATCGGTGTTTACAGGATCATTGATTCTGAAGGTTGCAAGCATCGCCTTCTTCTCTCGCATGATCGATTTAATGCGACATTTAACTATTTGTCCAACCGAAAGGTGTTCTTTGAGGTTCTGACCAACACCATCTCCACATTGATCTACCGGTACAAACGCGTGAACGTCTCCGAAAAAAGAAACGTAACACCCTCTTCCGATCACACCTGTTATGACACCATGCGTAGTCATGCCAATCTCGACGTCTTGATAAGATTTGATTATCGGCATCTCGGGGTCAAGAAGTGAATTTCTCAATGTAACCACGATCCTATGCTCCGTTTCGTTTACCTCAACATTAAGGACACGACATTTGACGTTCTGTCCTGGTTTATATCTATGTCCCAAATACTTTTTAACCACATCGTCAACGTGAATTTTTGGTGCGAAAGCATTTATATTATCCGAAAGGGTGACCAC